ATGATAATTTAGATACAGTATATTATCCCAAACAGATTTCAGCCATTTTTGTAAAAAATATTTTTTGATGAGGACTAGAGGCACTGTTCTAATAAGTGTCTGATATCCATAGGCACCAGGTGGTAAACCTCTACTTTACTACAACATTTGAGCAATCAATTATAAAGTAGTTAGAAGTAATACTTTTAGTTTTTCTTCTTCTTACAGCTTATATACTTTTGATATGCGGTTCCTTGGCAAGGCTTTAATGGTTCATATGGACCATGTGTCTGCAGTCCTGGATTTGGATTATTCCCCTACAGGAAAAGAATTTGTGTCGGCCAGCTTTGATAAATCTGTTCGCATTTTTCCTGCAGACAAAGGTCATAGCAGGTCAGTGAATTTTTTGTAATAATTACACTTCTGAAATTCCTTCTTTGCCACTAATCTTAAATCTCTCAATTTGTTTTTAATATATTGAATCTCTTGTAAAGATATAGTTCCATTAAGCTTGTGAAATTTTTACTGGTGCATTTTAATGTTTCAGTCTGCTATTCACTGATACTGTTATAAAAATGGTCAGGCTAAAATGTTTTGGGGTTCAAAAATCTTCTGATTTGTTCCATGTGTCTAATATAGAGTGCATTTACTTAGGACAGAATCTAACAATGGAGATGAATATGTATTTACTCAGCATTTAAAAAAAAAATTCAGCATGATTCCAACTGTGCCATATAAATTGCCAGTCAAGAAAATTAAGCTATTGTTAAGTGCAATTTAACTATTGCTAAGTGGAGGGATTTAGATGCTGACTGCTGAAATGGGCACTAAGATCAATTTCATCTCTGGATGAAATAGAAAATATGGTTTGCTTATTGAAAAGGCTACATGCTGATGGATCAGCAGAACAGTTTGTGTAAAATTGTAATGGATGTGGAGATTGAATACAGATTTCTCAACAAGACTTTCAAGCTGTCATCTGTAGTTTTGCATGCTTTCGCAGTTCGTGCTGTTGGCATGATTGCTGCAGCTGTGATACAGGTTTTATGATATATGTGCTTAGGGCACAGGAAACTTCATAAAGAAGATTTACATTCGTAGTGTGATTTTGCATTAATATTTTAAAATAGTTTATATCAGCTGGCTTCTAGTATCTAGATCAGAAACAACTAAACAATAAAAATTGGAAGCAGTTACACTAATTTCTTTCTTAAAATGTTTTGAGATGTCTTTTATAGTTAATTTCAGCTTGGGAACAAGTAGAGCTTCTAAAGAATTCTTCAGTATGCTTATATCCATACTCTCACTTGATAAAGAGTTTCTTGAAATTTTTCAAGGCTTTACTCTCTTTTTGACAATATCCCTTCAAAAGCTTTGGTCTCATAAATATGCATTACTCTATACATAGCAAAAGCATGTTAAATTTATGGACTTAATTATGTAGGTTTTATCACAGTGCTCTTGGCCCAGATGCCAGGGTTTATTTTATGTTCCTAATTAAACTCTGAATGTGAAACTTTAGAAGTCAGAAGAAGCAAGACATACTTTGTTTATTAATTTTATTAAGAGCTTTTGGTAAATGAGCCAGATGTTTGAGTGATTAAATGAAAGAATCAGCTTATTCATCCATATGATATTCTATTACAGGTGTCCTCTAAGAGTAATTTGTTTTCAAAACCCGTTACAAGAACGAAATGTTTTTTAAGTTGTTTCTGCTAGATCAGATCCAACAATTTTTAAAAATTTCTTATAACACTTACATGGCTGACTATCTTAAAGTCTGGATGGCTCACAAGGATGAACAATATATAACAACTGTAAAAAAAAAAGTAAAAACAAAAACAAAACAAAAAACCCTGGCACCATAACTAAACTTTCTGAAGCAGCCCATAGTATGTGCATCCCATGCCAAGCGCACTCTATCTGAGTGCTTAGGGCAGTGGTTCTCAACCTGTGGGTCGGGACCCCATTTGGGGTCGATCGACCATTTCACGGGGGTCGCCAAGCAAGGCTGTCTGCCATTTTTTTTGTCCATTTTTTTTGTCCGCCATTTTTTCCCCCTTTTCCGGCGGGTGCCTTACCTCCCTTGGGCTGGGCCAGCTGGTGGTCGGCCTGCTCCGTCTCTGCCGCTTGCCAGCTACGCCTCGGCCGGCGCAGGGGGCGGAACCACGCATGTGCGGCGCTCCCGGGCAAGGAAAGTCCTCGACTTACGACCGGTTGGGTAGTCCTCGACTTACGACCGGTTTAGTCCTCGACTTACGACCGGTTTAGTCCTCGACTTATGACCGGTTGGGGTCGTGGCATTAAAAAGGTTGAGAACCACTGGCTTAGGGGAAAATGCTTTTCGCATAGGGGAGGGGCTGCCATGGAAAATGCACTCTTTCTGAGTCCTGTAAGATGGCAGCATTTAAAGCAGGGGTAGTCAACCTTGGCTCTTTTATGACTCGTGGACTTCAACTCCCAGAATTCCTGAACCAGCTGTGCTGGCTCAGGAATTCTGGGGGTTGAAGTCCACGACTCATAAAAGAGCCAAGGTTGACTACCCCTGATAAAGGAAGGGACCTGGAATGTACCTACCCTACCTGAAATGATAGGATGGGCTTATGTCCTCAGGGAGAGCTGGTCTTGCAAATAACCTGGTTCCATGCCATAAAGAAGCAGTTCTCACTTAATGACCCTAATCAGGACTGGCAACTGCATCACTAAGCATTGTGTGGCTGTGAAGTGAAATGTCACATGACTGCTTTGCTTAGCAGTGTCAGTTCTAGCAATCCCAGTTGCTATTATTGAGCAAATTCCACATGATTGTTAGGTGACAACTCACCTGGATTCAAGCTACTCTTGGAAGAAAGTAAGGAACTATTCCATTTCAACTCCTCTCCATCTACCTATCTCCCCCCCTCCTGCCCTTTAGGTTGTCTGCCTACCTTCCATTGCCAGCTGCCCCTCTTGCCTGCCCCTACACCATGGGCCACCAGAAACTGGGGTCTTCTTTTGTGCCATTGTAGCTTCTTTCAGACCAGTCTTCTTTTGCTGACCAAGGCCTTCTTTCATAAGCCAGTAAGGTCCTCCTGTTGCACTGGTTTTTTTGCACACCAACTGAGTCCTTTCATGAAAGGAGGCCCCAGCCTATATTGGTGCATAGTGTGGCACATACCTGCCCACAGCTCTTACCCACTGACCTGTGGGAGATTTCCATGATGCCTCCCCCATGCATGGCCAGGATGGTGAAACCACCTGAGGGGAGGCAGGCAAAGGATGATGAAAATCAACTGGGGATTTGGTGGCAGAAATTTGGTGGCAGAGGGCTACCTGTAGGGCTTTAAATGTAATAACCAGTAGCTGGATGGAAACCAGAACCAATATAGGGGTGCAACATGGCAAACCTAGGCATGTCCAGCAGTGTGTGCTGCCGCATCCCAGACCAATGGTAGCTTCTGGGTGGTCTTCTATGGCAGCCCCATTTAGTAATTACAGTAATCCAAATGGGAAGTGACCAAATGGAAAATTTGTGAATGACCATGAAAATTCCTGGCCTAAAATCCATAAGGAATTCCAAACTTGGAACACTAAAAATTGCATTAAGGCCATGAGAAAATTGGATATTAACTTCTTACTTGAGGAAATAATTACTATTATAAAATATATCATTTGTTTAATATTAGACTGGTTTAAAGAGCCTCTTGATGCGGGTGAAGAAGGAGAGTGCAAAAGTTGGCTTGAAACTCAATATTAAGAAAACCAAAATCATGGCATCCGGCCCTCTCAATTCCTGGCAAATAGATGGGGAAGAAATGGAGGTAGTGACAGATTTTATTTTCCTGGGCTCCAAGATCACCTCAGATGGGGACTGCAGCCAAGAAATTAAAAGACGCTTGCTCCTGGCGAGGAAAGCTATGGCAAATCTAGACAGCATACTAAAAAGCAGAGACATCACCCTGCCAACAAAAGTGCGTATAGTCAAGGCCATGGTTTTCCCAGTTGCAATGTATGGATGTGAAAGTTGGACCATAAGAAAGGCTGAGCGACAAAGAATGGAGGCCTTTGAACTATGGTGCTGGAGAAGACTCCTGCGAGTCCCTTGGACTGCAAGGCGTTCAAACCGGTCAGTCCTAGAAGAGATCAACCCCGACTGCTCTTTAGAAGGCCAGATCCTGAAGTTGAAATTCAAATACTTTGGCCACCTAATGAGAAGGAAGGACTCACTTGAGAAGGGCCTAATGCTGGGAAAGATCGAAGGCAATAGAAGAAGGGGACGACAGAGAATGAGATGGATGGATGGAGTCACTGAAGCAGTAGGCGTGAACTTAAATGGACTCCAGAAGATGGTAGAGGACAGGAAGACCTGGAGGAACGTTGTCCATGGGGTCGCGATGGGTCGGACACAACTTCGCAATTAACAACAACAACAAAGAGGGCATCCTTGAAGTGATGCTTTTAATGGGAGTATATATAAAAATTGAAAATGTCACGGAATGGTTATGCTCATACTCAACATATTTGTCATAATCAATATAATTGATTATTTTCACAGAAGCCAAAACAAAAACTGAGATATAAGGCAAATAGAGTTCAAAAATAGCTGCTCTTTTGAATCCTCACTGCTCTGCTTTCTATTAAAATCACACCCTTTTCATAGAAAAAAAGATGGTTAATTTCTCAATCTCTAATTTTCTCTAAATTTATTTTATTCTATTTCAAACAAAATAATAAATTAATGCCGACTCACCTCTTCATATCTATTATTTTGACTTTTTAACTTCTGGTATTTGCCTGATTAAGATCAGTATAATCAGATAATTTTTAGAAATGTTTAGGGTTGCATAGCTCTTAGGATAAATCTGTGAAAAGTGCTTGGTAGTACAAATATAGCATCTTTCCTATGCTACTTTTATGCTCCTGCACCCTTCCAAGCTGAATCCAAAAAGCTGCACAATTCTGCAAAAATACCATAAAATATTTCTAATTAAAATGAAAGCAAACTATCTTTTCTATTCTTAGAGAGGTCTATCATACAAAGAGAATGCAACATGTCATCACTGTCAAATGGACATCAGACAATAAGTACATTTTGTGTGGCTCTGATGAAATGAACATTCGTTTGTGGAAAGCAAATGCTTCTGAAAAGCTGGGTGTGGTAAGTAACTGCAAATTCATTGTTAGACTTAAAGCAGATTTATTCCTTTTAGACAGTCAAAAAGCACTGGGTTGTTAACCTTAAATTTTGGTAATAACTATAATTCATTGTAATTATTTTGTCTTAAACAAGAGAGTCTGTTTGGGCTAGCAGCTAAAGCACCAGGCTAAAAACTAGAAGATTGCAAGTTTTAGTCCCACTTTAGGAATGAAAGTCAGCTAAGTGACTTTGGGTCAATCATAGTTTGCTGTGGAATTCCATCTCATCTGAGAATCTGCCAGTGCTGTGTGTTTGCTGCTACTTTACGATAGTTGGGGCATTGTAGTGTTCTGATTTTTTTTAGGTAGTAGATCTTAGGGGGATGGAGAAATAAAAGCAGTTGATTGCCTTCTTGATCTTTGCCTTTCTTGGCCCATCAAATAGCAAGTCTGGAATTGGCTCCTTGATTAAGCAGAGGGATCTGTACATCCTTGAGCATGGAACGTGTTCCTGTGTTCTTAAAAGAGGCAGTCATAAAGTTAAGAGGCCTCCCTTGATCCAATAAAGCTGTGTAATATAGACCCAACTCATATACGTATTTCATTTTTAGACAAAATGTTTAAAAGACAATCACAAACTGACCTCCCAGCTCCATGTGCACATGGATGAAACTGATTTCCTAGTTCCATTTCAATCAAGATTTTGTCCAAAGTATGGTAGTCCTCACTATGATTGTTGAGCTCAGAAAAGGTGATTTATGATACGTCTTTGAAATTATGACTATTACAACACTCCAATTATCACATGATCACAATTTGGATATTTGGCACCTGGCTTAGATTTACAATGCTTACAGCATCTTGCAGTCATAAGACCATAAAGCACCCTTCCTGAGGCTGTCAATAACTTTGAATAGTTGTTAAATAACTGGTCATATGTCAGAGATTACCTGTAAACATAATCTGTTGAATTTTGGAGACTTGTGTGACATCTTAATTTATTATCTTTATAAATTGCCTAGAATTTTATCATGTTGGCAGCATATAAATAATGGAAATAAATAAAAGCTGCTGTAAAATGTTGCAATATGAAGTGCTACTATTGCTAATTCCTAGTGATTTAAAACAGGGTTGTCTGGGCTTACAAATTTGGTCATTCTGATTGTTTAAGAGTTCGTTCTTACTCATCTACATTGTTCATTTCATAATTAGAATGAGCAACATCAAGCCAGAAGTGCTGTGAATATTTTTAAAAAGGCTCATTCCTTTGAAAGAAATAGGGTTGTGTCAGCTACCATTTTAATGTAATTGCCTTTAATTAAAATGAAAACCTTTTAATTTGGATTGTATTGACATTTTGCACAATAGGGATGATTGAAATGTACTGCTGACTAAGCAAAAGAAATGAAATACGATGGGTGGTGGGAAATACCTCCTACAGCTAATAAAATTAATGTTTAGTCTGTCTCTCTTTATGAACAGTTTTTGAAAAAGAAATATTTCTTCTACTTGAGAGCTAGTTTAAATCTAGTTGGATTTTGAGGTATATTCTGCACCATTCTGATGATCAAAGTAGAACTTTTCTCATTTAACATGGTTAAATCATCAGGGATTTAGCAACCAGGCTAAGCAGAATACAATAGATTGCCTTTTAATTGAATTTATTGGAGATGTATAACTATAGAGATTTTCACAGTTAAAATCAATTTCTTTGGTTTCTGTATAAATTTAGAACTAATCTTCCTCCCTCCCTCCGTCCCATCAGTGTCCAATATAAGATTTATTTGCCAGATATTACTTTGTGCTATTCTTTGGGATCTTGCAGTTCCATGACTTTCCCCAGTATATAGAAGGTGACAAGATTTCATGAAATGTTGCACACTCATAAATCTGTTCTGGTATTGCGGAATTCATCAATGTTAAATATATGTTTTAAGATTGTGATTTTTTTTCCTAGCTTGCTCCTCGAGAGAGAGCTGCTATTAACTATAATCAGAAACTGAAAGAAAAATTCCAGCATCATCCCCAAATCAGACGTATAAATCGCCATCGTCACTTACCAAAGATGATCTATAGTCAAGCCAAAGAGCTACGCATCATGAAAGAAGCTCGTCGGCGAAAGTATGTTTTATTTAATTTTTTAAAATTAAATGTATTCTAGTATTCTTTCCATTTGTCTATTTACTTTTGAATAGACTGGAACTCTCTAGACAGACTTTGGAGTCTTTTCCAGTTGATTATAAGACTAATCTGACAGTAACATGTTTTGACTTATTAGATGTGTTTCTAAAGTACAAGACGTACAAGACAATACATTGTTTCCTTTCCAAGCTTAATTCTATAATAACATGTATTTGCTGAAACAGTTAGTTGGAGTATCTAAGTCAATAGGATAGAAATAATTAGCTTGGCCATGTTGAGGGAATTAGAAAGGGATGACAATGGATAATGAAGGTGAATAAGATCAGAGTCATTACTGGAATGCCCTGGAAGAACTACAGGTTATTACTAGAGACAGATTGAGATGGTCAGCACTTGACCATGCAGTCATCAGAACGGAAATCTGATTTGATGGCATCTATGTAAGTATCTAATGGCTAACTTAGTCTCCAAATAGTGCTTCTGTCTTTAGACTTTGCAATCAGATTCATCCTATTAATTAAATTGAAGTGGGAAGAACAGCAAAAAGGAGAAAGCACTCCTTGAGCTCTTATTCTGATACAGCAGAAATTACTGCTGTTCAGTAGATGCCATGCCATCTTTTTTTAAAACCTGAATAGGATTCATCTATTAATCTAATCATCTTTTGTACAAATGGGAGATGATGTTACTTTTGAACAAGATCTATATTAGCCAAGTGCACAGCATATACAGGAGAACATTGACTATCTATTCCAAATTTTATTTTTACTTTAATTGAATCTGCCCTGAAAAAGAGTGTTTCAATATTTCTTTCTTTTCAGAATCATAATCCAGTACCTAATATGTTAATTGTATTCCAAATATAATCCTACATTCTGATATATGAATATTGGTTATGTAGTAGTAACTTTATTTTCTAAGCAATGATATATATAAAATATATTTTAATGTCTCTTTCTAGGGAACTGAACCGTCGTAAACATAGCAAGCCTGGATCTATACCACTTGTGTCAGAAAAGCAGAAACACATTATGGCTGTAGTAAAATAATCATATATAAAATTACCAGGGGTACTGAATTTCTATGGATATCATTTATATGTGAGATATATTTCTTTGTTACAAGATATAATGCAAAACTGCGTTTTGATATTATGAAAACAATAAATTGAAACTGTAGTTGCTATAGTGTGGCTAATTGTGGTATCTTTATAGTATTTATTTTGCTGCATGGCTTGTAAAGAGCGAGAGTGAAAGTATCTTGAAAAGTACATGGAAATAATGCATACTAAAGGATATGGAACTAACTCAGAATATTGCAATACGTTTTCCAAAATATTAAGTTGTAGTGTCTTAAAAGGATGTGAAACAAAATATTCTTAGATTGGCAAACTTGCCTCTCAAATATTTGGGCACCATTTAATAAAGACAAACTGCACAAAACCCCTTTTCCATAGTAAGCTATGTGTCCTGATTCAGCCTACCAAATAATATAGAGATAATCCTCAACTTATGACCACAACTGAGCCCAAAATTTCTGTTGCTAAGCAAGACAGTTGTTAAGTGAATTTTGTCACATTTCACATTCTTGTCACAGTTGTTAAGTAAATCACTGCAACTATTAAGTTAGTAAAACGGTTGTTAAATGAATTTGGCTTCCTCATTGACTTGCTTGTCAAAGTTATAAAAGATTACACATTTTACCCCAGGATACTGCAACCGTCATAAATACATGCCAGTTGCCAAACATCCAAATTTTGATCATGTGACTGTGGGCATGCTGCAATGGTCATAATTGTGAAAAACATAAGTCACTCTTTTCAGTGCCATTGTAACTTTGAACAGTCACTAAACAAATGGTTGTAAGTTGAGAACTATCTGTATTTTCATTTTCTGTATGTGTTAATAAAATTGTTGAATAGAAATATACAGCTGCCTATATGTAAAATGTGAAATAATTATTAACATTTTGAATGTGATTACTGTTAATATTTTATATTAACTGTTGATTCATATAGTTTGTTTATAGCATAATATGGAAATTAATAACATATCTGAAGTTTAAGAAGTTAATTTTTGGCTGTATTATTTTCAGTAACAACACTGAAATATGTTAAGTATGGACCAACTATAGAATATTAATATTTTTATACTTTTATCCTGCCTTTTTATATATAACTGCATCAAACCATCCATCTAATATAGTCATTAAAATACTGTAATCAGAGTTTGGCATTTCATTCCTTTCTATGAATGATTCCAGATTCTATCCTCAGTTATAAACCTTGCTCAAGTCTGAGATTTTCTACAAAGCTTTCTATATCCAGAGTTGGCCATCTAAAATCAAACAAATATTCTTTGGGCTAGCATGCAATTAAAGTTTTAAATAATTTGTCTTATGTAACAGATGAGATCAGCCACTATTTTCTTGCGTATCATCTGGAAAACAGCTGTTTCTTTGAACTTCAAATTTGTTATATAAACTTTATCAAATTATTTAATCCTATATTAACTGCATCTTTTCAATTTTAATTTATTTTTATTAAACATTACTAAGATAAACTAAAATATAATAGAAAAAACAAATGCAAATAAGAATAGGAAAGAAACTTACATATACATTGAATAGATATTAAATACAATTGTATTTAAAATATTAAATACAATAGTATATGTGTATTCCCAAACTTTTGTAAAGTATTATATTCTGTGACATCTGGAAACAAAAACTAAGGTGTTATTAAACAATTCTGAAAAAATTTGGAAAGCATAGAATGCATAAAGTTAATACATGAAGTTCATGTAATTAAGGTTGTATACTTCATACAGAACAGCAAAAATAATTTAACAGTTATAGTCATATTCTAGTGAAATGACATAACTTAATCACCACATATAGACTGTATATTAAATAGATACATTAATTGGGGAATACAATTTGTTCAAAATAAATAGAAGTTCAAGAAAGAAGGAGCTGCATTGTGTATTAAACATTCTATTCAAAAATTCAAGTTGAAGAAAGTTGATACAGATTATATTTTCCAAAAATGAAGTGTAGAACTTTCAAACATTTCAATTAGTCCATTTTTGGGGAGAAAAAACTCTTGCCAAACATGGTGCTTCCAGCAAATTCCTAATCTGCCTTGTTGAGTTCTTTCTTCTTTGGAGGGTGGATGATGAATTCTACATTATGGTATCAACTCTGCTCCCTAATAATTGTATGTAACATTGTGATGAAAATATTTAAGTCCAGAACTGGCACTGATGCATGTTTTATCATTTTGATGCCATCAGATGGAAGTGAAACCAGCCTTTTTTCATCTATAAAAACCAATACTTCTGCATTAAGGGTGGGGTAACTAACCAACATTTACAACCAAGATTTGGCTTCGTCTTTGGATATAAAAGCTAATATGGTGCATTTTGATTAATTAAAAGCACAGCCATCTATCAGGCAAAAATGAATTGGTGAAAAAGTTTCTAAATTTTGCAGTTTATGTACAATGGCATAGCATGTTAGCCTTTAGTTTTGACACCTTATAGACTTTTGTATCAACTTAGGAAAAAGTTTCAGAGTTGCAGCATTCAGTATAACAAGCTAGTTTTCATGCAGCACTCAGAAGATTTTAAGGTTGAGTTCTCCAGATAGGGCAGAGACAAATCAGGTTTATGGGCAAGAGACTGCAGTGTATACTTAAGCTCTCCAGGGTTGTCTCGTAGATTTCGACTAATGTACACATTCATGTGTTTTAGGGCCAAACAGCCCAGGAATTCCCATGTTGATCATGTGTCATCAAGTCATTGCTTCTCTTAATTGACCCCATTTAGATCAGGGTTACCAAATTATCAGGGATACCTCCCTTCGAGAGGTACACCGAGTCCAGGGGAGGTGTGAAGAAACTTTTAGTTGTACATTGTTACAAAAAACCTACCTTTCAAAAAAATAAATAAATAGTACATACAGTAATGGTAGAGAGGGCACAAACCTTTTGCTTTTTCAAGTCTTTTATTAAAAATAAATTTTCATTGTATAGTTTTCATTGTTTATCTGTGTTCATTTGGGTTCGCAACTATCTGTCCTTACCCTGGTCTTTCAGTTCTCCCAACTGTGCATTATAGTTACTAATGCGGGGGTAGGCAACCTCGGCTCTTTTATGACTCGTGGACTTCAACTCCCAGAATTCCTGAGTCAGCATAGCTGACTCAGGAATTCTGGGAGTTGAAGTCCACGAGTCATAAAAGAGCCGAGGTTGCCTACCCCTGTACTAATGTATAACTTGAGGCCATCTCGGTTGCTGTTAATCACCTTCCTTTCCACCTGTCCCAGCATCTGAACCTTCTCCAGAGAGCCAGATCTATCCAAACGAATCTCCAAAAGTAACCAATGATGGTTTGTATAACCCTAAACTCAGATTACAGTCCCTAATCTTTCTCTATTCATCTCCTGCTCCCCGTTAGCCGTCTCGCCGCTTCAGTTCATTCAAACGCCCGTAAAGGTAAAAGTGGCAGGAGGCTTAAACTTGAGGGGCGGCGGATCCAGGTTAAGCTTTGAAGAGCAGCCGAGCACTTCGGCTCCCGAAGCGATCTAGCCGGGTGCAGCTCCCACTCCCGGCCCAGCCTCACCCGTAACCCCATTCCCAAGCGCGGCGTTTGGGCCTCCCCCTTTTCCTCCCTTCCCATCTTGGTCAACCTCCACGAAATAACGGCCGCGGCGCCGCCTCTTTTCTGTCACGGTCTCCCCGCCGCTCCCGCTCGGCCGCTCCTCCCCCGCCTACCTCACGTGACTGTTAACGCAACGCTTCCCCTCCCGGCGACTTCGCAGGGAATCAAGCAAGCGCCCTCCCTCCCTCCCGAGGCCCTCGCCCCCGTCTTTTTCCCCCTCACGCCAGGCCGGCCTGCCTGCCAGCAACGCGTCGGTGTCTACCGCCCCCTCTGGCGGCTGGTGGAAGCGGCTTCGCCCTTTCCCTTCTTCCCCCCCCCTCCTTCCCGCGCCTCGGGCGACGAGGCAGAAACGTGGTTGGCGGTCGCGGAGGGGAGGGGACGCGCGCGGGAGCTGCGGCGGCCACAGCGACGTCGGGCGGGGACGGTGGGGAGGGAGACCTCTTCCCGTGATTCCCGCGTTCATCCGCGCCCCGACCCTGCCCGCTCCGCGATGCGATGGGTTAGGCGACTGGCCAGCAACAGCAGCAGCGGCGCAGCCGAGAGACGAGCCGCCGAGCGAAGCAGCCACGAGGGGCGGCAGCGGTGGCAGGGCCTGGCCGAGGCGCGGGCGGGGGGAGGGCGGAATAAACGGCCGCTAGGGGCGGCGGCGGCGCGGTAGGAAAAAGCCTCCGGCTGGACCTGCGTTGCCCCACGGCCCTT